ACGGCGATGATAAATGCTTCAGTATGCCTACGCGCACCTATTCGCCGTTTTAAAACAGTGCGCGTAGGATGCATCGCAGCTACCATCCTGGCGAGCAGCGCGGCCAGCATCTTGGCGAGCATCGCATCGAGATACCTCACTATGTCTGCGCCCTTAGGCCTCCTCCTACTCTGGGTGTCAGCCTACCAAGGGATAGAAAAGGAGCAAACATTCCCACTAACTGGACCAGGACCGTTCTGCTTTATAAGTGGAAACCTTAAAGGTTCATTCTCACTATACCTTCCGTTTCCATTCCATATCCATTCCATTTCTTCCGTTCCTCCTATGCTTCCGTTCCGTATCAGTTCCATACTTTTTATTGTACAATTTATATCATTACGAAAGTTTATTTTAAAAATTTGTATCTTTTGAAAAAGGTAATAGATTTAATTAATTAATTATTTTAACAGATCTAGTACAAAAGTAAGAATCTGACAACGCTGTTTCCGATACGCTTCAGTTAAGATCGATTAAGATGGGCTGGTCACGTATGCAGAATGCAAGAAAACCGCATACCAAAATCACTGCTTTACGGTGAGCTTGTAGACGGTAAGAGGAGGCCAGGTGGACAACTCAAAAGGTACAAGGACATTTTCAACGAAAACTTAAAGGGGATTAATGTGCAGAATGAGTGGGAAGTAGCAGCTCACAATAGAACTCAATGGAGAAGAATTGTAAACTCAGTTAACAGCGAGAACCAAAAAGTTAAGAGGCAACAAAGCAATGAGATTTTTGAATGTCCGGAGTGCGGTAGACAAATAACATCACGTATTGGGCTTTTCAGTCACAGAAAGGCTCATGAAAGAAAACGCCTTGCGTGACCATCTTCTGATGCGTGTCAAATACTCGTCAGCGAGTAATGGCAGTATGTATGTATGTATGTACGCTTCAGTCCGTCCGCCAAAAAAAATGTGTGGAAGGAAAGGATATGGAATGGAAGGGAAGCGGAACGGATTCATTTACATGATTTAATATTTTATGTAAACGGAAGGGGGCTGATATGGAAGGCATAGTGAGAATCAACCTTAATGTGGAACTCAAGAACCTGGAAGACTCCATCCGTAACCTCCAATGCTCTAAGACACTCGAAGAAACTTCTCAGGACGTCTGGACGACCGAGAAGAAAATATTTCCGCTGGCTTTTGTCAAATCTCTGACATTGTATAATGAGTTATCACTCAAGAAAGGGGGACACGAGAGATCAATAATGTCGCAGTGATTATAACTTCCCTCCCTCATATTTATAATCTACATCTACATTATATTCACAGGAACTTTATTTTTTAATTCTTTTTATGGTATATACACTCTGTATATCTAGAAAGTTAATTAAAAACACAGTCAATTTAGACTGGGGCTGGCTTTCTAAAAAAATTCGAGAGAAAATTTCGACCCTTCAACGGCGGTCAGTTGAAAAGTGTACAAGGGGCAGCCTCTCAGGCCATTAGGGCCTTGAAAAACAATCCGTCCAGTCACAGAAACAATGGTTCGAAATCCCCCGCACCTACTTCTTGTTGAATAGTTTGGACTTTCATTATAGCTGAAAGTGGTTTACCATTAACAGCTGGTCTTAACACTTCACGGCCCTTGAATGCCTTTGATCGTTTGCCCTTTCGAAATTGCAGGAAAAATTTAAACGAATACTCCGAAGCGCCCGCAGTTCAACCATTCTTTAAAAGACTTTTTATTAAAATTCTTATATCGAAAATAATATGTACGCAGTATAAGATACAACACTTAAGAGATTTGTAACTGGTAGTTTAATAGGTTCAAATGATTTAAAAGTAGGATATTTTCATAAATTTTAGTTTTTTTCTTATCATTTGCAAACCGGAAACTATTGCAAAATAAAAATATACCAAAAGTACCCCAAAAACAGTATGCCGAATAGATTGTTTCATATTTAACCCATTAAGTCTCAAAATCAAACATGCTGGGTCACAAAAAATACATGTTTCAAAACCCTCCTATAGTTTATATTAAATGAGGAGTTATCAAAGAGCTGTGACTAAATGGATAAAAATTAGACATAGATTTTTTTTATTAGTAGAACTCATATAAAATCTAAACTAATAAAGAACACCTGCATATAATTCAAACAAAATACAGTAAACTTAGTTTAAGCTTTTCTAGACTATGTGCCTTAACTATGGAGGGCTTAACAGTATAGGGGAACAGAATGGCAACACTGCCTATTGAGAACGCATGCACTTATAGGGTTATCGACGAGCAACAATAAAGCTCTTGCCGCGAGTAATAAACAAATTAACAACCTGTATATGCACGCAACGACAAGAGTCCAACGCTTACCACTTCATACTAATGTCACTGGACAAAAGTGTGGTAGCCAGTTTTAAAAATTTTAAACCTCAAAATGAGACAATAGATTTGTAATTTCAGTTTTTCCATGATTCGCCACACAAAGATTAAACAAATAGTGAGGAAGATCCGTTAACAAAGTTTTCAGTAGTTTTATTTGAATGTCTCATTTTTTACCTAAAAAAGGTGTGTCTCATTTTTACACCACTTGGCCCTATTCCCTATTTCCCTAATCTAAACTCTTTTTATTGCAGTTTTCCACTTGATTAAATGACTCTTCGAAATAAAAATAGGAAATAAATTAAACTTAAAACACGATAGAAAACGTATTAAAGCTGGCTCAGTGTTTTGTGTATTTGTACACCTGGCAGAGTAGTGGCACAACATCCGGCAACTTTTGAAATTCAATTTGAAAAATTTAAATTACATTTGCCCCAGTGTTTCTCGAAGATGTTCCCGAGGGAACAGCCGAATAGCAAATTTCATTTATAATAAGAAAATCGTCTAATAGAACTGGTAGCCGGGCTTGCGGTTCTTTGGGGCATATACCTTTGAGGTTTGTTGTAACTTTAGTATGGGGCATTAATAATTTCTTTAGCCCCTAACAATCTCTTTTTCTTTTCAAAGAGGGAATTAAATTTGAACCAAACCAAACCAAACTACCTAAATATAACCGACGTTTTAACTAAACTTTCTTCTTCATATTTTTATTTAAGAGTATAATTATATCATTATAATATACAAAGTATAAATAAATAGGAGCGAAAAAGATCAGGAAGTGACTATGACTTTTCATCCCATAATCCTTCAGGCAGAAAAATCTACGATATCGAAAGATGCGTACAACTTATGATAGATAGAAACCTAACTATCGGAAACAAGAAATAGCTATCTTATACAATAGTCAAGCAGCATTAAAAGCGATCAACTCAGTAAGCAAGTACGACTGATATCGGAGATGGAGAACTAACCTCTGTGAAACCGTCTCAGATACTAGCTTTTGTCAACGCCCGCAAGAATGGGTGCCACAATAAATGTATAAGATGTATGTAGAATGTTTAGGAGGGGAGTTAATCACCGCGACCTTACAGATCTATTGTGTGTTTCCCTTTCTTGAGTTATAACTCGTTATAACTCATCATACAGTCTCAGGGCTTTAACAAAAGCCAGTATCTGAGATGGCTCCACAGAGGCCAGCTCTCCATCCTCGACATCAGCCGTACCAAAGTTCATGACACGAATGGTCGTCGTCTCGGCGCACTCAGTGATAAGATGTTCTGGTGTTTCCCCATTTGATAAGATGTATACAATGATGCATTTTTAAAGAATTTAAAATCCATTTTTTTCTATTTCATCAGGAATATAAAAGAACGATGAGGTAAAATACTGGAGTAAAATTTTATACATTTTACCTCACACATCGTTCTTTTATATTCCTGATCAAAATAAAACAATTTTGGATTTTAATCTGGAACAAGTGCGGGGAAGTAAAAAACTGAATTATAAATTATATATTTTACCACATCAAAATTATTTATAGAAGCATAAAAAGTAAAATAGTAAGTTTTGATATTTTTATAAAAAAAAACTCTTTATAATCATAGTATACAAGAAAACAACCTATATCTCATGTAAAGATACAGAATACGCAGAAAAATGATAATGGTAAAAAATATAGTGTTCACAGCAATATTGCCATTTTAATTTCAAATATGGCCGGCCTGTAGCTTTTTTAGGACGCAACCTATGTGAAAAACGATTTTTTATTTCAAGCGAGTGAGACAGGAATACGGGCATTTTAGAAATTAGCAATTTCACATTTTCAAAGCAATAACACAAAATTCTTTGCAATATTCGGCCATGGTGAATTCTTAATGAATTGTAGCAGCCGGTTTTTCCAAATCACCTGGCGCAGGTAGAGTAGAATAAAGCATTTCATATAAAAATTGCCTTTTTTAATTTCCAACGTGCCCATTTTTTCGCCAAATGATATTTGTTTTGCCGTTTCGAAGCGTTTCGCTAATAAAAATATAACTATGTCGAGTTTTGAATATTGAAACATATTTCGTTGTGCCACTTTTTTTTTGCATTTGTGCTATAAGTCAGCTTGCATATGCGGAGAATTTTGATTCAATTCTATTTTGTCTCGTTATATATTCTCCGCTGCAACTTGCTTGTGATATATGTATTGATATAAATAAATGATATTTTACAAGGTGATGCATTGCCCTGTATCTCCTATAGAGGTAGTATTTTCTACTTGATTCTTTTTTTATATTTTCTTTTAATATAAACAATCATAATATAACACCATAATATTAAAATTTATATAACATCTCTTCAAAAAAGTCCCATACCCTACGTGGTACATAATTACATCTTTGTTCTTTGGCTAAATATGATCAATAGTAATACATAATTATGTAGAATGTTAAACAAAAAGAGTATCCATCAAAAGAAATATGATACAAATCTGTCGCTAAAAGAAAAATACTTGTATAATATAACACAAAAAGTATTTTCTCTTAACGTACCTGTCCCATTAATTAAATACAAAAAGCATATTTTGTTACATAAACAAGCAAAATGGTGGTTAAAATATTTATAAATAAAAAAATATGTTGCAATCAAAATTCACTTACCGACTAGGTCTACATACAGTGTAATGGTAGTAGTTCGGGATATACCTAGAAACAAAAAGAAATTATCAGTAAAGAAATATATATTTAATTTAATCACTTAACAAATGTAAAAAGCAATAAACTAAAAAAATGCATAGAATCAAAAAAATATTTTATAATTATTTTCGATTTTGCAAATATGACTTAGGAAAATTATTTATTTATCATTATATTTATTTATATTTTTTATTAACTGAATGTTTACAAAAATTCTTGGTTTTCTTTAAGTAATCTTGACGATTCTTTTACAGCCTTTTGTACTTTGTAATCCTTTTTACTTTTTCGACGAAATATCTTTATATTTTCCAGAAAGGAATTTTATATCAAAAATATAGATAAATAAATAATTTTTGACAGTGAGAGTCAATTAGAAATGTGGAAAATAAAGATAGTACGAGAGACTGTTCACGAAATATATAGACATAATAATTTTATTAGAACATAAGATTTTATAAGCTGTAAGAATGATTTTACAACATGTCGTTAGACACATTTTACTCTTTCTAAAAATTATGCAGATTAAAAAAAAAGGAGAAAATGACCGGGAAAAGTAAGTAGCAGAGACAATAAATTTTATTATATTTTTCCCGAAAATTTGATCTCTTCCTCACTTTGTGCCTCTCTGTATTAGAGAGAGAAAATGAATTTTCTCCCCCTACAGCCTATTTTATGCGTGATTTAATTTGACACTTTCCCTAAACGCGAATTTTGCCACAATTGTGCCATTTTTATTCTTAAAATTCTATTTGCCGGAAAATCGTATTATTATATAGTTTGGGAATAACAGAACTTTGATGAGTTAACTTAGAAAGGCAGTCCCCAGTGTTTTTATCTCTTTTCAGATAAAACCTTCTATTAGAAGATATGTAAGAGATTTCTTTTTATTTACTTACCATAAATATATACCGTATGATCGAAAAAAAATGGCGTCCAGTTGGCTGGGAAATGACGATCGATGACATTTCCCATATAATTTTACATATAAAATGACAGCGATCTTCATTTCAGACGCCGTTTTTATTCGATCATACGGTATTTATGGAGTCCTATAACTTTTTCTATATGATTTCATTTGCATAAAAAATTAGAATTACAGATTTAGTAATTAACACACCAACATCTTCTTTATCTGGCTACAAGTTTATTTTTTATTTTTAATACACAAATATACGCTTAGTTATAATAACCAGACTTTTTCAATACTATACTATCGAAAAAAACGGCGTCAAAGACGGCTCGGTAATAATAATCGATGATAATTTTGGGGAGGTCAAGCCCTAGGCGTCATGTACTTGGTCCGTATTCTTTGTTATTTCTTAATGACCCTTTGTAATTAATTTTTATATTGAGTACAAATAATTTTAAAATGGTGTAGTTTAAAATTCGAGAAAAAATAAATTTTCGGGTTGTCTTCTTGTGTGCCTGAAATTTTAATCTGCTTTATTTTAATCTTTCTATAATTAGTGTTAATTATTTGAAAGTTTTATGTAAATTTTTAGTAAATGACGTCTATAGAGATTGCGACTTCTAAAAAATTATCATTGATTGCCATTCCCTAGCCGTCGCATCGACGCTATTTTTTCTTTCAATCATACGGAACTTGATCTGAATAATAAATCTAATAGAAACAATAACATTCTATTATTCAATATTTTTGCAAATAAAGATAAATAAAATCATATAAGTAAAAAAACGCAAGTTTACAACTTAGCCCAAAGTTTACTCTAGAGCTTTTTCTTCATCTTAAAAAAGCACTTAGAGCAACAAAAATGGCTGAGATTCCAACTATTTGCCAGGATATTCATCTGAACTTTGTGCCTGACAAGGGTTTGGAGAAATTGTTGGCTCATACCGAAAATCTTCTAAATAACAAGTAAGTTAACAATAATTTTATGAGAACAGTTCGTTTTAAATTCATCTAGTCTTACAGAAAACAACTCTATTTTATTTTTTCCCACTCTATCTACGTCAGAATCACAGCAATTTAAATTTATATAGGTACAAATTATTTTTTAGGAAGTACTATTTTAAGAGACCTTTTTATATTGAAGTTTATATATAAAAAAAATCAACTGTCATGGCTCTATGAATCATAGTATTATAAAAAGTACATGCAAATACAACAGTCTATTTTTTAATAAATAATTAGTACGAAAAATATTTAATATATTTATTTATAAATCATAAATAACAAATTTAAAAGACTACTAGAAAAAAAGTAACGCCAACTACTTATTCAGAGGCCAATTAATTCATGAAACTGAAAATCTGCTTATTAATAAAAAGAAAAATTAAAACTTTAAACATGATCAACGTTCATTTCAATGACAACTAACTTAAATTCTTTCTTAGAGAATTAACATAAACCATACAGTATTAAGTTGAATATAATATGTGAATATTCTCGAATGAAAAAAATAAAAATATCATAAATTATTTTAGGAAATGAGTATGACCTTTTAATTCTAATTATATCAAAGTATTCTACGTGTTCTGGGTCATGCACTTTCAAATTCCTTAGCCAATTTTCCACGCATACTTTTCTGTATTTCTTGAAATAATAAAGAACATGTAATTCTTCCAAGCAAATGCAGAAACGTCTTTTATGATATTCTAGTAGTAGTTTCTCGTAACGGTCTTGGATATATTTTTCTGGATAAGGTAATTCATGAATCGAATCTCTAAAAAGATTTAATTCTTTTATTGGCAGATTATAAAACGTGAAATGTACGATCAGCGTTATGTTTAACTTACGTATTCTCTAAAAGGTTCTCAGTATATCCTATCATTCCTTTCAGTGTATTGTCTGACACTAGACTCAAATAAATATCTTCAGTTAATGGGATATGACTCATTTTCATGCTTTTTGAGGCTTAAAACAGTAAAAATTTAAAAAAAAGAAGGGTTGTTTTCCAAACTGACTTTTTTGAACGAGGAATTTGACGTTTGTCAAAACACGTAACCATAGCAATCCAAGGAACCTTGATATAAGAGTGAGTTAGGCTTTTATAAAACCTAAAATGCTTCTATCTTCCATTATATATAAATACATTTGTCGAAATGAATAAATAGCATAGCTACTAGCTTAAACAATGCTTCAAAATTAATTACGTATTCTTTTAAATTCTTAAAGCATTTTTTTGTTTGTTTTGCTGACACCTATTGGTGTAAGTTGAAACTTTCTATGCAAGTTAGGGATTTTTGGAAATTAAACGGGCGTACTTTAGGGACTTTTTTATATAGTTGGAAACCCTGGCATCTATGGGTCGATAAAATCGATTTATACTGGATTTAAGGTTCTTAAGCTTAATTTTAAAGATTTTTATATTGGCTTTTAAATATTATGCGCTCTCTTTATTGTAGTATTTTACAGTGGTTTAGTATGAATTTAGTTAAGAAATAACTTAAGATTGGCATGATTCGTTCAAACAGATTTGTACAGATATTCTGTAACAACACGTGGAGGTAAGGTGTATTTTATACATTATCACTATATTTACTGATATCTTTTTTGATTCTCTCTCTTTTCTATAAGAACTACACGATTTTAATAATATTTTAGGTTTTACTAATAAAAAACCAAGGGTTTTAAATATTTTATCCATGGATTAGGTATTCCCTATTGACAATTTTATTCTCGTGCAAAGAGAAACTAAATTAAGAGCACAATAGATAATTACCTAATTAAATTACATAAAATTTAGAAACATTTTTGAATTAAAAACACCCAAAGTAGTTTAATCTAACCTAGGTAGTGAGCGTGATCTTTTACAGTCTTGGGTTATTTTATCCAGTTCTATTTCTTCCTGATTGTTTACATCGAAATTTCTCATCCACCGTTCCACATATTCTCTTCTCTTTGCATTATATTCAAAAATACTGTGTAGTTCTTCTAGACAAATCCAGAATCGTCTTTGGTGAGCTTCCAGCAACAGCTTTTCTAATCGACTTCGTATATGTCGTCCGTTATCAGGTAATGCTTGAATTAGTTTCCTAAAAACAAGTTTATATTTGTTACAGACCTTTAGATACACTTGAGACCGCAGAAAATCCACAAAAAGAACCAGTTTTCGTTGATATATATTTGTAATGGAGGAATTTGTACGTCTGAATTACTTGTTCTGTAAAAGCTTCTGAGCATGATTCATTAAATCTGCCAAACCACTGTCTGTGATGAAATTTAAATGGATATCGTCATTGATGCCTGGAATCCTATTCATTTTTGTATTTTTGGGAGTTTTTAATACAAAAAATAAAAAAATAGTGGGCAAAAAGTCTTTTTGAAACTGACGTTGTCAAAATTTTCAAAGTGATGTCTACTAGAGGTGGGTTGTGAAATCGCAGTCCGCTACTTTGTCACAGCTCCACCAACGTCGCAGTATGTGACTGCTCCAGTTCCAAGAAAATCGCAGTGACATTTCGGAGCAGTTTACAAGTTTAGGACATCTGCGCTCGTGAGTAGCAATAGGAGCAATAATTTATTTGTAATGATTCTGGTTGCTTAGACTTAATATTAATATTTATAATATATATTACATCATAATTCATGAATGAATACAACATTAGAGAATGCGTAGAAATATCATTTTAATCTAGCTTTACTATATCTATTAATATTTTTTTTATACAGTCAGAGCTGCTTGTGATTTATTTAAAGTTCTTATTAAACACCAACACTAGAATATAAATGATTTGTGAAAAAGCTATTATTTGTTTTAATCATCTATAGTTTTGTATTGTATTTTTAAATATAATAAATATATTAGAGTTAAGAACTTTCGCGACAGACAGAGGAAAGCCCAAACTCAAATGTTATTTCTACGTCTACTAACGTTATTCTCGTTATAACACGAAGAATATATATCATTATTACTAATTTCTTAAGTAGGATATGAAGTAATATTTTATAATTTTTATTACTAGGAATAGAAGATATGAGTCCGGTAGATATCCCTAGTTTACGAATAAAAATTAAATAAATATAAGAAAATGAGAGAAGTCATCCCATATGTATGTAGATAAAAGAAGTTTCTACGCATATAAGAAAACTGTATCAAATCCAATTTGTATTTAAAATAGTCTTCCTTTTAGGCCCCTCCACAGAATTTATGTAAATGGTAAGTGAAAGAAATATTTATCCTGTGTCTCTGATTACATATTTTGAGTAGATAAAAGTGTCTAAATGTATATTTTTTCACTCACTAGTTTTATACACGTACAAATATTACTCTTCAAAACAGTTAAAACACATGTAGGTGGCGCCCCCTACAAGTAGAAGTCATATTGACATCAAAATCAAATTTCTCATATCTAAAATCACCCAGACACCAATTTTTATCCAGATATCGGCTATAGCATAACCAACATGAGATACAGGCTAGAGACATCGATTTGTGACGTCACCGCAATAGTCGGGCTTTTGAATTGTACCATATGGTACTGCATATAGTTTTTGCATAAATAATAGTATTTAATATGAAAAATATTATACACAAAGGTATTAAAAAATAACATTAACTTTTTATCACGTTAAAGTAATTGAATAGCATTAAAATTTAGATCTAAAACACGAATATTAATATGAAATAAACAACAGCATAACATGAACAGAATAAAATCCAGATAATAAAAAGCATGTCCTAAAATTGCGTTAGTGAGTATTTAGCAGCTAGTAATAATATACCTTGTGATAAAGTTTCCAAATATTAAAAAATTTGAAAACTATACTTTATCGACAAGTTAAGAAAATGTATTGTATATGATAAGGGCAGAATACATTTTAAAGTTTAATTAAAAATAATTGTAAAAATCTGCCAAACATATTTAAAAAAACTGGATATCAGGTAGAATTAACTATTATCATTAAGTAATTTGTAATTCGATGTTCAAGTAACCATTTCCATAAATCGTAAATAAAAAGATAAAGATATTTTTTTTATATAAAATACTGAAATAAAGTACCATTCATTTAATTTCTTTAAAATATATTGCCATTTCATAATAATAATAATAATTTTCAATATTTATTTCATCCTGAATTTCCAAATCTTGTTTTCTTTCATCGGGATGTTTTCTCTTTATGGGAACATGCACAGTCATATAAGAGGGTTGATTTGGAAAAATTGTAGGCACAGCATCTTCTGTAGGTTTTGAACGTGACTTAGTTACAGTTAATATTGTTGGGAAAGAGAATGTAGACAGATCCTGAGGACTTATTATAATTGCTGCTACAAGGCACAGACACAGAACAATGTCGCGGCATTTTTTATTTCACAAAGTAAAAATAAAGAAACGACAACTGTTTTACCTAAAAATACACGTCACTTACGTTGGTTTAACACTATACACTAACACAAATGCTATTAATTATGTTTTTATATAAATTCCCCAACTTTTTCCTAGTCCGGACACACAGCCGGCATCGCCGGTGTTACTATAATTTTTACCGAAAGTATGGTTTTTTTTCGCGGGTACGATGTTATGAATCGGATCTAAATAGTTCACTATTCACTCAAAATTATTTAGTATAATTTTATTAGCATAGAAACGCGTAAAAACACAGATTTGTTGCGAAACTAATGAAAACAATTGGTTTGTTTACGACTACTAATTCTCGACCACTTCGGTAGAACTGTCAAAACAGTCAGGCCTTGAATATGACGTTAGCCACGGCTATAGTTATATTATTTGGAAAAAGCCGAAATAAAAATGAATCTTCTACACCCTGTATCTCCCGGAGCATTTTTGGACATAATCGAATGTGCTCAAATTATGTAATTTTTAACCGTTATGTGCAATACTTAAAAACAAGTTACAAAAATATAAAAAAAAATTATTCGAAGCTTATATTTTTGCTCAAGAGTCATATTATAAACCATATACGTCTGTGAGACGTCACGTTAGGGCTTAGGTCATAAAATTAGCACGTTAGTAGGTTTATTATGCTGTACTGTACGGGTCGGTCTCAGGGGTCGGGTAAAGAGGGTGTGTGGCCGAAGGAAATATATATTATATTTCAGAAAGGAAAATTTTCTAAGGCTTAGCCCGATCCTGTAGTGTTAAGCCACATCCAAAATTCCAAACACATGTGCTTCGATTAAGGCTTGATTAAGGTTTGCAGAGCTTCAACATTTTCCATAAAATAGCGAGCAATTTGTTACAAAACCATATAAATTATATATCACTGTAATCATAAAACTACAATCTATTTCCGTATTGTAACGGAATTTTAAATTATGTCTTTATTTTTGAGAAAATTTAGTTCAAACATAAGAAATATTTTGTTGATGTTTGACCATCAAAATCTTGGCGCTGGATGTATACCATGATAGTAAGACCCATGATTACTTATGGAGCAGTTGCCTGGTACACAAAACTAGAGCAACGGACGGCAAGGCTAAACCTGTGCAAAGTCCAGAGACTAGCATGCGTTTGCATCACAGGAGCCATGAGAACCTGTCCAACAGCAGCAATGGAGGTCATTCTAGATCTAACACCACTGCACATTGTCATTGCATATATGCCAATGCGACAATGATTAGAATGGTCACTAACGGAATTAGTACTGGGAGAATTGTCAGATCAGGGGCTTGGAACACCCTCATAAAGGAAATACCACTCCTGCAACTCCCAGTGGACGATATGCCAAGAACCTACAACTTTGAGAAACATCTCAATGTAGTATTGGGCAATAAAAAGGATTGGAAGAGCAAAACGCTTGCCCAGCAGTTAAAAGACCATACCATAACTTGGTATACTGATGCTTCCTAAACCAATACGGGAACAGGGATCGGAGTGTTTGGGCCGAGAGCTAAATACTCCGAACCAATGGGCACTTACCCTAGTATCCTACAGGCAGAAATCTACGCTATCGAAAGATGCGTACAACTTATATTAGATAGGAACTATCCGAAACAAGAAATAGCCATCTTGTCTGATAGCCAAGTAGCGTTAAAAGCGATCAACTCAGTATCAATCAATTCGAAATTGGCCAAAGAATGCATAGAGAAGCTGAATAAATTAGGCAAAGAAAACAAAGTCCTCCTACTCTGGGTGCCTGCTCACCAAGGGATAGAAGGCAATGAAAAAGCAAATGATCTAGCTAGAAAAGGAGCGAACACTCCACTAACTGGACCAGAACCGTTCTGCTTTCCAAGTGGTAATCAACTCAAGGCGGAACTCAAAAACTTGGAAGATTCCGTCCGCAACCTGGAGTGGGAATCTTGCAACGGTCTAAGACACTCGAAGAAGTTTCTGAGGGCTTATGATTAAGAAAAATCACAGATCTTCCTGGGTTTAAGTAAGAACAATCTTCGGATTGTCACGGGGTTTTTAACAGGACACTGTCTCCTCAATTAACACCTCAGTAGATTGAAACTAAGAAGAAACGGCGAATGCAGATTCTGTGGGGAAAATGAGGAAACACAGTACACCTCATCACTGAGTGCGCCGAGACGATAACCATTCGTGCCATGAATTTTGGTACGACTGATATTGGAGATGGAGAACTACCCTCTATAAAACCGTCCCAGATACTGGCTTTTGTCAAAGCCCTGGGACTGTATGATGAGTTATAACTCAAGAAAGGGGACACAATAGATCTGTAAGGTCGCAGTGATTAACCCCCCACCCACTAATTCTAAATTCTAAAAAATTCTAAATCAAAATCTTAAAAATAAAGAAGTTGTCTAAAAATGTGCTACAATACGGATATAGTATAATCCTTTATCTTTAATTTCCTTCTTCATTTGTGTAAAAATACCTAGCCAGTTTTACATAAAACATTAAATGCCGAACGGTTATTTTGCTACTTTTTCGGACTAGTGAAATGGACTTAAAGAATTAATGGAATTAAGTTATGAACAAAAAATATATTCATTAAATTTTTAAGTAGGATATACGAAAAAATAATTTTTCTCCTTAGTATTGAGTATAAAAATACGATTTTATTAGAAGATATAGTCTGGTAGGCGTCCCTAACACATCCATAAAAAGTAAGAGAAATAAGGAAATGAAAGAAAGGTCGTCCCATATTGGGCGTAGTTAACGAAAGTTTTCGAGGCCTAAAAGCGATAAACAGTCCCAGTTTGAGACGGGAACGCGATCCGGGAATAATTCCTGGAGTCGAAGTCAACATTCCATCGACAATTAAGTCCAGAAGGTCCGTCCAGGACGACTAATTTCGGGTGGGACCCGCTAACTTCCCCAGTTAGGCCGTCACGTTTACTTCATCTGTCTGTGACTGGATTCTGCTTGCCTTGCTCCTGACCATGACGTCCCGTCCGGCTAACT